TACTGGTCTGTGATGAGGGGAGCGCTGTTGGTGGCAGGTTGAGCCTGTACATTTAACCATGCTGTACCCCGGAAAGCGCTGAGGATCATTTCTGTTTCTTTCACATCCTCCTCTGCTCCCCACACAGCGATGCTTGGGTGAGTCTGTACTTTAGGGAGTTTGACTTTTTCAGTTGGAAAAGAAGAAAAATGTCAAGGTCACTTCTTAAATCCTTATAGAGATATTTTGTGAATATGTTTCTGAAACTTTTAAAGGAAAATAAGATTTTGCCAAGGTCTGATTCTCTTTCTTTGAATTTCAAACAATCAGCATGACAATTAATTTGATTAATTTAAAGTATTTATCTGAGTTGGATTATCATTGCATTGAGAAGAAAAAAAATAAGTTAAAATTCCTTGTTTTCCCGTTTGCAGAACATCGGGGATAACAAAAGTTTCTTTTTTGGGGGGTAGGTACTGGGAACCAAACTAAGGACCTTGTGCTTGCCCGGCTGCTACTTATGCCACTGAGCTACATCCTCCAACCTAGAAGGCTTTGTGTTATGAAAGCTTCACAGCCCAGAGGTGCATGCAGACATTGAAAACTTGTTTCCAGCCCTCCAGGGCACACAGAAGTAGAGTAGTGTTGTTTGGAGATGGCTTTGCTTTTCAAATTCAAGTAGTTTCTTTTTTAAGGGATGGGAGATGATTGGACCAGTTACAGAAGTCCCCTGCATCCCATCAAAGTGACTGGTGCAGTGGAGCCTTATCAGCTGGCCGGAGAACCTGGGGCCCCTAACCTGAGCGTGGATAGAAAGTGCTCTTCTCACTTTGATTCCCCACTAAAGTGAAGTTGAAATTGTTTTCTTCACTTTTGGGACTTTTTGGGAGGAAAAAATTACATGCATCATGTAATTGTTCCATAAAATTATTTTTAAAAATGTCCCAGAGAATCTGCTTTTCTGACTTAGCAAAGTGGATGCTGGGGTCCTTTACAAGATCTCAGACTGGGAGGGATGCTGTAAGATTGTTTAAGTTTTCTTTCATCTGACTTTTCTTTTTCTATTATGGAGGGAGAACTCAAGGGTGGGAGGGAAATTGCTGCTCAAATTGGGGAAGCTACCGACAGGCTCCTTGTGCTCTTAGTCTTCAAGGAGAGAAATTTCCTGGTTGTCACAGAGGGAAGACTGATACCCAGACCCACAAGCCAGAAGGTCTACACATGAGGAGAAAAACTGTAGGAATTTTTTTTGTCAAGTTATGGCTGTTCTTTCTAAATTTACACATCCATCAGATAGAATATTCAGCTTACTTAATTGACCATACTGAGTTTATGGTATTCTAAGTGCACTAGGGAACAGAGTAACAGTCCACCTGGGTTCCACGAAGTTTGTTGGACTCACCAATAAATTTAACTTATAGACGTCAAGCTGCAGATTAACACTTGAGAAACCCAAAGCATAAGTAATTTAAAAAGCAAAATAAAATAAATTATTGTGAAATAAGGAGAAGGATCTTTTGCAAATATGAAGAGGAAGTGGAGATGGAGGGGAGAGGGACAGAAGGATAAAGGAAGCAGAAAGAGTTAAGACGTGTTGTGTATATCTAGCAGCTCCCCACCATGAGTATATTCATCATATACACAAATATGTAGTAAAAACATTAAAACAGTTTGTAAATTTAAAATGGGGTCTGGGGGATGCTTGGAAGTCCCTGGATTTAATCTATAAAATAAATAAAGTAAAATAAGGTATAAAAAATACTGTGCAGAGTTGCTGTGTAATTTTGCTAATAGATTCATTCCATCTTTCCTCTCTAACATTAGAATGCAGTTATTTTCTCTAGAATTAGGTAAAATGGTCCATGAAGAAAGTCAATATCTGGTAAATACGCTGAATGCTTTTTTCTAACTGATAACCTAAATTTAAGTCATTGCTAAACCTGACTGGCACCATATGAAATTCTTGTAACTTTTCCAAAGTTTGAAATCCAGAGTGTAGAGAAAAAGTTAGCATTGATACTGCGAGGGCCTGTGAAAACTCAGCCCCTTTTAAAAGCATTGGAAGTAGATAATTCTAATAATGAAAGAAAATTCACAGAAACCTTAAAACTCACATTCAATGTTCCTGACCTCTCTGTTCAGTTACAACAGTAGGATTAGATAAGGTGACAGACACTTTGAGTGAACGACACACGTGTGTTGAGAGCAATACCCTGAGGACGTGAGGGGGTGACACACTCATCCCATCCCGGGATGTTCCATGTGGAAATGTGAAGAGCAGACAGGAGCTGAAATTCTTCTTCAGGGACAAAGTTTCTGACCATCGTAGCAGAAGGTTCTTTCTGTTCTGGTTAATATGCAGCCAGACCCTGTGCTGGCAAACCGTGAAGAGGGTGGCTGTAAAAGAACTTTCAGTAGTAGTTTCTCATTCAGATACAAAACTCGAGACCATCTCCAGGAACCTGGAGCTTCTGCAAACCCATTCCCTCTCCGGGCTCAGAAATGTGCGGCTGGAAGGAAGACTCACCTTTGTTGCTCTGTCCCGTGCTTCCAGTTGGGAATTCTAATCTGAGTTTAATTTACCCTTAATGTCGCTAGGTCCCAGGGGTGGGCACCACCTTCCCATCCTGCTTAGCAGGTGACTCTACCTGCTCTGAGATGCTAAGCTCCCTTAGCTAAGAAATCACTCATCCTTTATCCAGGTCCTATTATGCATCTTTCAGTGAGCTGGTGAGGTCACCAATCTCCATTAAGTGGTCAGTTGTTGATGAAAGATTGGGAGGGCATGTTTGTGGACTGTAAAACACTTTGGAAGTAGAACATATTTTAAATTATCAGTGTTCTGTAGAAAGGGACTCAGTGCATGTCTTTGAATCTTGTTGGTACCTGTAAGATTAGAACAAATGCATTTCCAGGGCTAAAGATATTTACAGTTTTCGTTAAATGAATACAAATTTCTCTTTCTTCCCAAAAACTGACCTTCAAAATAATGCCTGCAGCAGACAATGCCTCAGGAAGCAGCAGCCCTGTGCAAGAAATGTTCTCTACAAACTCTTGATGGGTACCTCATAGAGGTAGCACTGCTGTGACATCCCGTCCCACCCCCACGAAAGCAGGGATCAAACCCAAGAGCCCTCTTCCACTGAGCTGTATCCCTATCCCCTTTTATAATTTTTTATTTTCAGACAGAGTCTTACAAAGTTACCCAGATGAAACTTGAACTTGCCATCCTCCTGCCTCAGCCTCTCACAGTGCTGGGGTGGCATGTGTGCCCCACCATGCCCAGCTGACTCCTATACATTTCTTTAGGTGCATGCCCTACAGGGCTTTGCTTTCCATTGCAAACACGTTTCTATTACCTATCATATTTTTCCATTCTCTACTGATTCCATAACTAGGCTGAAATCAATCATTTTCTTAGCTGCTGTACAGGAAATGTTCATGGACTACAGCAAGCACTTTAGAGACACTTGCAAATGCCCTTCAAGACTGACATTTTTCCAGAATCCATCTTACAGATGCCAGTGGTACTGACAGGGCAGAGAAGTTTACCAAATTACAATTGTTTTGGTGGGGGAATTTCTTGAAAAGGATGGTTAGGGTCAGGGTGAGTCTGAGGGTCAGGTCAGTTTTATTACAATTTTGCAGGTTCAACTCACTTTAGCAAAATGTGTAAACGAAAAAAATTCTCTTTCTTGTACTAAAAAGAAATTTTGGGGGTGTTGATGGTTTAAAGTGAACTGTGGGTATACTCTAATCTAAGGATAAATTGCCTTTGGGAAAGTAATTTTTCGAACTCTGAGTTTTGTTGGGTCGTTACTCCATCACTTTTTCCTCTTTCAGAGCATTTTGGGTCCATTTCTCTCCAAAGGTGAATGTGGACTGTGCTTCTGATGCTCGCGAGCTCCTGCTCTCATGAGCCTCTCCCTGGATTCTAACTCAGTTACAGACTCAGGTGTCTCAGTCCTCACCCTCTTTGTGCCTCAGTATGACCAAATGTCAGTCAGGGATGTGAGCCCAAGCTCTCTAAGGCTCCTTTCAGTGCTCATGGGGGTTTTCCACGTGGAGGAGGTCTGAACCAGTGTCTCCTTCACCTGTGTGGTTGGAGACCACACAGGTGAAGCACATGACCATATCTATATCCACAGTTTGTCCAATACGAATGTGAAAAATGTCTTTTTCAGAGAAATTTTCAACCTGTCCATCACTTTTGTATGTCTGAAACACATTTGTTTTGTGCACTTAATCTTTTTGGGGCCTGATGTCCTTATTGGTAGGTGGAATACTGAGACAGTGGCCCTCTGATTCACTGTGTCTTCCCATTTGTGTGATTTGCCCCGCCTTATGGGCACATTTCCATCACTGGACAGCTCTGTGCTGCCTACTGTATGGCCACAGCTGACCTCTGTACTTCTGCCCAGCCTCTCCTGGCCACTCCTCATAAGAGCCAGTTCTATCTTTTGCCAGCCTGGGTCTGGTTTGTCCTGTGTTCCCAAGTGGCAGAGCATGGGAGGTGGTGGCTGAAGTGTGGGAGACATAGCGAGGCTGGGTGGGGAGGCAGAGAAGTCAGCAGGGCCCACCTAACAGTCGACAAAACTGTGCAAGTTGAGTCTAAATGAGAGATTAATTACTTGGAGAGGTTGCCGGTGATGAGATCAGGGAAAGAGACTGGACTGCTGGTAGAAAAATCCACTGCACAGTCCACCTCCCTCTGTTGAGGAAGGTAGAAGTCAGTGAGAAAGAGCCAGCAGCAACCTGGACAGCAAGCAGGCTCCTTACCAAGGCTCCTTCCCTTAGAAATGACTTTTCCATTCTCTTCTGAGTGTCTGAAGCTCCTGTGCAGCAGAGTTGTGTGACTGTGATGATTCTGAATGATCTTTTTTTTCAGTTTACTTGGTATTTGAGTAGGAGTGGAGACTGAGGGAGATGGGGGAGGTAGCACTGCATTGTCAAAGTGCCTGTTACACCTTCTGTCCCAGGTGGGCTGAGAGGCTTACTGTGCTGGAAGGAAGTAGTTTTGGGGCAGAGGTATAGCTCTGTCTTTTCCTAGGTGATTGATTGTGGAGAAATCATTGAACTTTAGAGTCTGTTTCTTTATCTAGAAAATGGAGACAATAGTCTTGCTGGTGCATTGGGGCATTAATTATGGGGCATTATTGGGGCATTAATTATGACAACATTTACAGAAGCACTCCATGAATCACAAAGTGGAAACAGTGCTAAGTTCCTCATCTTATGAGATGAGCCTTGCGTGGAATAGGTTGTTCCTCACTGAGTTCTACTTTTCTTGGTCTTCATAAGTTTCTCTTACAATAAAAATGGCCTCGCAGTCACCTTCATGGGCATAAGGCAGGAGGATCCAGCCTGCTGGCCCTGAGAAGGGCAGAAATGATAGAGCATGGGGCCACATTTCCCACCCACAGGAAGTGTCCTGCCCTTGGCCCAGACCACCTGTGATGTGCCATGTGCTTCCCTTGCATGCCCTGCCAACACCCAGACCACCATGAGGATGCCCCACCTTGTGGACCTACTACTGCTGCTGATCTTCAGCTCCCACCTCTTCTTCTAGAACCTTGGACTGCAGCAAATTACTGTGCTGGGTGAACAGGAGATTCAGGAACCCCTCACCCAAACAGAAGACGTCAGCAGGCTCCAGTCAGTGTGGTGAGTTTGCCCTTAAAATAGAGGTCTGCAGTGGGTAAATAGGAGCAGTAGTGAAACTCCTTCCAACTGTAAAACCTTGGCAAACCTGGAAAAAGGGTGGGTGATGTCTACCTCCAAACAGAGAACATCAGACAGGTTCAGGAGTGTGCCAGTAAGGCCTCCCCCAACTTGGAGAAAATTAAAAGGGCTTATGAGACACAGTAGGGCCTCAGCTGACACAAACACTATAAACCTGCAATAACCTGAAGACATAGCAATAGAAGGGACTAAGAGTTGACCTACATCAATATTCCTAGGCTAGTTAGCCCAGGAAGAATATAGGACTCATCCAACAGGCCCTGCAGGAGGAACTCAGGTGACTGGCTCTCCTCTTCATTGTAGTATCCAGCGATTGGACGAACACCAACCACACAGTAGGACCCTAAGATTCACACTACTGACAGTAGAGACTACTGCGATTGAAGAACAAATATTTGCCCAAAAGGTAAAAATGACAAAATGAAAAAGCAAAATCCAGTCTCAAACATCTAGTCCATCAGGTGCAAGTACAGGCAACATTGAAATAAAGGACTTTAAAAGTCATACCCCAGAAATCTCTGAAAAGATAGCAAATGAAATAAAGAAACAAATTTATGAGGCTATAGAGGAAATCAAATTAGAAATAATTTCCTATGTAAAGACAAAAATAACAACCTTAGTAAAGGAGTTACTCAGCATAGCCAGAGAAGAAATAAATAAAAAAAAATTACAGGAACTTGGGAAATTGATTGAAACCATGAATGAATAATACAGAAAACAAGCAGAATGTATAAAACAAATTCAAAGAGATATCCAAGAAACAAAAAATTCTGTTGAAAGTTGGCAAAAACTGTTTAAATGAAGCTGAGGATAGAATTTTGGACCTTGAGGACAAGATCACAGTTAGTGATCATGAAAGAATGGAACTTTCAAAAACAACAAACAAGCATGAAATGACAATACAGCAGCTTCAGGATGATGCCAAGAGAAACAATGTAATACTAATAGGCATCAGTGAAGATGCAGGAGTCAATGTAAATGACATACATAAACTATTCACAGAAGTAATAGCAGAAAATTTCCCAAACATGGGGGGAAAAATAAGTGAAGCATATACAATGCCAAACAGTCACAACCAACATAAATCTACACCCAGATATATAATAACTAGAATAATTAAAATCCCAGGCATACAATATAAAAACAGAATACTAAAAGCTGTTAGAGAAAAGACACAACTCACCTATCAAGGAAAGCCCATCAGAATAACAGAAGACTTTTCCTCAAGTCAAGACAAGCTTGGAGTGAGGTATTCCAAGCCCTGAAAGAAAACAACTTTCAACCCAGACTGATGTACCTAGTAAAACTGTCTTTCAAATTTAATAGAGAAACAAGATACTTCCAAGACAAAGAACTGAAGAAATTCATGTTCATCAAACTAATCCTAGAAAGAGTATTGAAAGACATACTTGATAGAGATAAAAATGACCTCAATCTCCAGAACAACAACAGAAAGACACTACCATGCAGGGCAAGCAATTAAACAAGGGGGAAAAGCAGAAAACAAACAGCTGGAGCATAACATGACAAAGTTGAGCCAGTACATATCAGTTATATCCATAAATGTAAATGGCCTCAATTCACCTATCAAAAGAAATAGATTGACAGAATGGATCAAGAAACAGGATCCCACAATATGCTGTATACAAGAAACACATATGACTCAAAAGAAAATGCATAGATTAAAAGTCAAAGGATGGAGAACAATATTCCATGCAACAGGAACCCAGAAAAAAGCAGGGGTAGCTATTCTGTTTGCAGACAATGTGAACTTCAAACCTAAAATGATTAAAGGAGATAAAAAAAGGTCACTATGTACTTGTTAGTGGAAAAATTTAAGAAGAAGAACTAAAAATTATAAATATATATGCATCAAATGCAGGAGCACCTAACTATATAAGACAAATACTAATGGACATGAAAAACCAAATACAAAAGGACACAATTGTAATAGGAGACCTTAATCTCCCACTGCCACAAAGAGATAGATCAACTAGACAAAAGTCAGCAAAGAAATAATAGAACTGAATCATACCTGTGAGCAAATGGACTTTGTAGATGTTTATACCCAACCACATCAGAATATACATTCTTCTCAGGTGCACATGAAACATTCTCCAAAATAGATCATGTATTAACCCATAAAACATTCTTAAGTAAACACAAAGGGATTGAAATTATCCCATGCATAATATCTGATCAAAGTGCATTGAAATTAGAAATTAATGGCAAAAGAAATTGCACAACCTGCATAAATACATGGAAATTAAATAACAACCTTCTGAAAAACCAGTGGGCTACAGGTGAAATTAAAGAAGAAATAAAGCAATATTTGTAATTCTGTGAAAATGTGGATACAACATACCATAACCTGTGGGATGCAGTGAAAGCAGTCCTAAGAGGGAAATATATAGCAACAAATTGTCACATCAAGATGACAGAACAAGCACAAATAAACAGCCTGAGTTACATCTCAAGCTTCTAGAAAAGGAAGAACAAGTCAAACCCAATGCTCATAGAAGAGAGGAAATTGTAAGGATCAGAGCAGAAATTAATGCAATTGAAACTAAAAAAATAAAAGAACTAATGAATCAAAAAGTTGGTTTTTTGAGAGAATAAAAAAATTGATAAACCTCTAGCCAGCCTTATCAAGAAAAAGAAAGAAAATATTCCATTTCATGCAATAAGGACTGAAAAGAGAGAAATCACTACAGATCTTATCGAAATTCAAAAGATCATGAATACCTACTTTGAAAATCTCTACTCACATTGGCTGGAAATGGACAGATTTCTAAAATTGTATGAACTACCAAAGCTCAATCAAGAAGATATAACAATTTCAGGGCTGGGGATTTAGCTCAGCAGCATAAGCGCCTGCCTTGCAAGCAGGCAGTCGTGAGTTTGATCCCTGGTACTGATAAAAACGAAAAAGACAAAAAAAAAAAAAAAAAAAAAAAAAAGATATAACAATTTTGAGTAACCCAGTATCAGCTATTGAAATTGAAAACGTGACTAAAAACTTATGAACAAAGAAAAGCCCAGGTCCTGATGGATTCACAGATGAACTCTACAAGAAATTTGAGAAAACTGAGAAGATTTGGCACCAATACTCCTTAAACTTTTTAATGAAATTGAAAGAGAAACACTCTTCCCTAACTTATTCCTGGTGGCAAGTATTACTCTGATATCAAATCCAGAGAAAGATCCAACCAAAAAGGAGAACTATAGGCCAGTCTCACTAATGAACACTGATGCAAAGATTCTCAATAAAATACTGGCAAATAGAATGCAGCAAATCATCAAGAAGATTATACACCACGACCAAGTGGGATTTATTCCAGGAATGCACGGATTATTTAACACATACAAATCAATTAGTGTAATACACCACATCAACAAAGTAAAAAACAAAAATCACATGATCATCAATAGATGCAGAAAAAGCTTTTTATAAAGTCCAACACTTGTTCATAATAAAAACCCTACAGAAACTCAGAATAGATGGTATCTACCTCAATCTCATAAAAGCCATATAACAAACCAACAGCCAACATTATACTAAATGGACAAAGACTGAAAGCCTTCACTTTATCAAGAACAAGACAAGGATGTCCACTAGCACCACTCCTATTCAATACAGTTGGAAATACAGTCTGGAAATATTAACCAGAGCAATCAGACAAGAGGGAGAAATAAAAGAAATAAAAATAGAAAAGGAAGAAGTAAAATTATATTACTTGCAGATGACATGATATAAAATATAGAAGACCCAAAAAACTCCATTAAAAGACTACTAGAGGTAATAAACAAATTCAGCAGTGTAGCTGGATACAAAGTCAACGTTCAAAAATCAATAGCATTGCTGGACACAAATGAAAAACTCACTGAGAGAGAAATTATGGAAATATCGCCTTTCACAATGGCATCTAAAAAAATAAAATATCTAGGACTCAACCTAAACAAGAAAGTAAAAGACTTATATGCTGAAAATTATACTACTCTAAAAAAGGAGCTTGAAGAGGATATTTGAAAATGGAAGGATATTCCTTGGTCTTGGTTAGGAAGAGCCAACATTGTTAAAATGGCCATACTCCTAAAACTGTTATACAGATTTAATGCAATCCCAATCAAAATACCATCAACATACTCCCAAAACTGTTTTACAGATTTAATGAAATCCCAATCAAAATACCATCAACCTACCTTACAGATCTAGAGAAAACACTCCTGAAATTCATTTGGAAACAGAAGAAATCTAGAATAACAATTATACTACAAATTCATAGTGATAAAATCAGCATGGTACTGGCAAAGAAATAGACCTGAGGATCAGTGGAACAGATTAGAAGATACAAACACAACTACAAAGACACTCAGCCACCTTTTATTTGACAAAGGGGCTAAACATGTTCACTGGAAAAAGGATAGCCTCTTTAATAAATGATATTGGAAAAATTGGCTTTCCACATTCTGAATACTGAAATTAGACCCATGCCTATCACCAGGCACTCAACTAAAGTAAAAATGGATCAAAGATCTAAATATTAAAACAGAAGCACTAAATCTATTAGAAGACAAGATAGGTAGAAAACTTAGAGACACAGGATTAGGCAGAGAATTCATGAACAAAACACAAATCACATGGGAAATACTTTAAAGAATCAGCAACTGGGATCACATCTAATTAAAAAGTTTTTGCACTTCAAAAGAAATCAACAGCAAAGTGAAAAGAAAACTCACAGAATGGGAAAGAATTTTAGCCAATAATCCCTCAGACAAAGGACTTATATTCAGAGCATATAAAGAATTGAAAAACATCAAGCCCCCCAAATTCAAAGACCCTTTTCAGAAATGGGCATCTGAGATGAACACACAGTTCTCAGATGAAGACATACACATAGCAAATAAATACATGAAGAAATGTTCACGATCACTGGTCATTCGAGAAATGCAAATTAAAACAACACTGAGATTTCATCTCACTCCGGAAAGCATGGCTGCCATCAGGAAATCAACTGATAATAAATGTTGGCAAGGCTGTGGGGAAAAAGGAACACTTCTCCACTGTTGGTGGGAGTGTAGACTCCCACTATGGAAATCAATATGGAGATTCCTCAACCAACTAGGATTAGAAGTTCTATTCAACCCAGCTATTTCTCTCCTGGGTATCCCCCCCCCCAATTGAAAAAATCATGCCATAATGATATATGTGCACACATGTTTATAGCAGTAAAATTTGTAATAGCTAAATCTTGGAAAATGCCCATCAACTGCAGAGTGGATGAAAAAGATGTGGTATTTTTATACAATGGAATATTACTCAGCTATAAAAAGGATGATCTTGAGGCCTTTATAGGTAAATTGAGGCAACTTGAGACAATCCTCATAAGTGAAATAAATAAGTTTCACATTTGTTAATATCACATTGTCTCTCTAGTATAAAAAGTAATGAAAACTGAAAGACTAATAAGATCCAAAATACATAATAGATATTATAAAAAGGAAAGGAAAGGAAAGTGCTCTAAAGGATATAGCTCTATGGATGTTTAAGTGTGTAAGATAGATGACTGTATTACTAAGTTTCCATTAGATCACTGAACAGAATAGTTTGCATTGTCAGTGTTTGAGTGTCTACTTTTTATGCTTTGATTTTGTAACAAGCAACTATTTCTAAGATGACAATATGTAACTTACCAACTAGTAAATTCTTAGTGTTAATATTCTTCTTTGAAATTCTGTATTACTTCTACCATTTTTGTGTTTTGTTTTGTTTTTTATCTTTTCTTTAAATAAATAACGAAAAGAAGTGTCCTGACCCAGGAGCACTCAGCACATACACGTGAGGTGAAGTCACTTTAACGGTCTGAGGATCAAGGAGTGCTCTACATGAAAGTCTGCAAGATGAGCAAAGGGGTGTGAAACTGGCCAAGGTTCTGGATTTCACTTCCAGGTATTTAACTCTGAGTTTTTCCTAAACAGCCTTTGGGGATGGGACAAATCAGATCAATTGATCTTTAGAGACCTAAAGAAATTAAATTAGTGTGGAGTCAGTTACTGTGCTGAATTGTCTGGAAATTGAATTGTTCTGAATGTGTAACTTATTATGTGCGACAGCCTTCCAAAAATCCTTTTAGATTGAGTCTGTTTGCCTATACATTCTGTGCCACCATAGGCTTTGGAGCCATATTCTTAAAGACAATATGGTTTCTTGTGTTAATTTTACTAGATTCTGTTCGCGTATTTGCATGTCTCACATACTTCATGTATAGCCTTATTCTTTAAAAACATGTTTCTCCCATTGCTACTTAGACTAAACCTAGTGTCTCTGCACTAAGCTCCTTCCACAGCCCCCTTTTTAAATTTCAGACAGGGACTTGCTTAGTGGCTAACCCAGGCTGGGTTTGCTTGCAATTGGGATCCTTCTGCCTCAGCCTCCTATGGTGGCACAATTACAGACATGTGCCATGACACCCAGTTTAGCCTTATTCTTTGGGAACAGCACCTTCCTTATTTGCAAAAGGAATTCCATCTTTATATCAAAAGGAGGAAGTATAGCTTCTGTGACCAGCTAAGTAGCAGACTACAAAGCCCAAAGAGATGTCTTAATATACTGTGACTTCCTCTGATTTAGATTGGGGAAAAATCACAGCCATCCCACATAGTACATAACCTATAGACAGCAGGCCAGGGCATTTACTTTTCCTTTCTGTGAGGGGTCATTTTGTATAGTCCACAGTGGTGCAGGGTTACTTCTGAGAGAGGAAAGATAACTAGAAGTTTTAAAAAACATTTTTAAAATTATGTTTCCCTCATTAATTTTTTTCTCTTTACAGAGAGCTGATGCTCACTGCAGAAAACCCAGAAAATACTGACAGGCAAGAAAAAGACAAAAAGTGATGAAATCCCACTTGCTCAGAAAGAACCATTGGCAAGCCCTGTGCCCATTTTCCAGATGCTGTGCTGGGCATGCATGGAACATTCACTCCTTTAAAGTTCATTGATAGATACTGTAAAAGCGAAAGGGGAGGAAAGTGCTCTAAAGAGTATAATGGTATGTATAGAGTGTAAGATAGGTGACCATATTACTGAATTTCTGTTGGAACATTGAACAGAAGGTTTGCACTGTCAATGTTTGAGTGACTAGCCACTATTTATGCTTTGATTTTATGACTTTGGCAACTGTTTTTTCAGATAACAATGAGTAATGTATCAACTAGTGATTCTATGATGATATTTTAAAATTTGGTATTATTCTACCCCTCTTTCCTTTTTTTATTTTGTTTAATTTTTTCTTCTTCCTTTGAAAAAAAGAGAATAATATGCAATATAACAACCATTGTTAAATTTCTTTCATTCTGTTTTGAAGACCTGTATTGTTATTGTTTTGAGTTTGCTATTATTGTTTATGCCCTTTGCTTTTTTTCTTCTCTGAATTTTCTCTTTTTTTAAATAAAAAATAAAATAAAGTTCACTGAGTTGCACGTGTTATTTACGTCCTCCCATGCACCTTTAGTTACAGATCTGCATTACACTTTGCTATGGCCGCTGGATTTTTCTTCACGTACCATATCTTATTTGACCAATCTCATATGTCAGTTATTTAGCTTTTGGCTATAGTAAACAATGCCGGAATAAAAATGTGTTTCTTTACACATATTCTTTATTGAGAGCATAGGATGAACACCCAGACGTAAACATGCTGGGTCAAAGCATGCTCTTCCCTGCACTGCTTTTCGTCAGTACTATTTTTTCATTTTTTAAAAATTATTTTGAAGGTAGTAAAATACAACAGAACAAGACAGAACAAAGCCAACTGAGACAATGAGTGAAACTGGTACAGAACTTCACAGCAGGGTACCGGCATAACAGTAGTAGGTACCTATAGTATATCTCGTTATCTTCACAGTAGTTTTCCATTCAATCAGGTGCAGCAAAATCAAACCAAATACAGAACATTATAGAACTTATCAAAACAGAATATTGAATAGAGCGATACAATTATTCAGAACAAAGCAAGACAGTGGTAAAAATATTTGCCTTCAAAGAGATAGTAGAAGGAAATCCCCCTATTTGCTATATTGCATATGGTCGACCTCCCCAGAGATGCTCAGACCTCTGGCTCCCTTTGCTAACTGGGGTGGAGGGGCATGGGATGTTTCTCAGCCGGCGCTCCTGTAGGCTCAGGGCTGCTTACCAGGGATGCCGGCAGGTTGCTTTCTTTCCCAGCACCCTAAGTTCCACCATGAGGTGGATCTCAGGAAACGCTGGCTGGTTTAGAGTGCCCGCTGCTTGACCAAGCCACAGCTCATCAGCACTGTTTTTAACATTAAAAATTTTAGAAAAAACATATTCAATAGTAGGAGAATGATTTAATGAAGTTTATAGTCCTGTAATGAAATTTTTAAAAATAGTGGCGGGCTATGCATGTCACACCATTGACTGCTTTTACCGTTATGAAGTGTGCCATGCAGTGGTATTAAGTGCACTCACAGTGTCCCACATCCACCGCCTCTGTCCACGTCCAGAGCATCTGCATCGTCCCAAACTCACAGCATGCACCTGTAGTAACTGCTGTTTCTCCTCCTTCCCGCCTCTCGGCTATCTCCATGGTACTTTGTGTCTCTGTGCGTCACCGAGCGGAGGTAGGCAGTAAATGCAGAGGTCCCCTGATTTCCAGCTAGGTCACCACGGCCAGCTTCCCCCCAGGAAAGGCATCTGCACCCACTGCCCGTTTCTTTGCACCCTTGTGGAACGTGATCACCGTCTTCTCCTCTTTGCCAACATAAAGCATGGAGAAAGTTAGCTTTGCCTTCTGGGAATTGGCCCCTTTGTTTCCTTAGCTTACCTTTCCTTTTCTTTGGGATTGCTCTTCTTCTCCTATTAACCTTATAATAACTTCATATGTATCATTGGTATTTATTGTTCCTAGTTTTGGAATCATTTTTACTAGTTGGAAAATTAGCTCTGTGTTTTTGATAAACAGAAGATCTTATCAAATTATTTTCTCTCTTTTTAACAATTTCTATCCTAGAAAGACTTTCCCACTCCAAAATTATTTAGGCATTCAAATATGGATTTTCTGTTACTTTATTGGTTTCTAATTTTTCATTTAAGTTGGTGACTCATGAAGAGTTCTTTTGGTATAAGATATAAAATGGGCATTTCATTTTATATTTTTTACAAATGATGTCAATATTATATACTTACTAGTGTATTTATTTTCTACTTATTTACTCTTTGTCGTATACCAAATTATTATCTATGCTAGTTCTTATGGTTTCTTTCCTGAGTTGCCAGTATTATAGTTCACATGCTGATAGCGTATGTAAATATTTTGTGCTACTGAAACATCTGAGATGTTAAATCTTTGTCTTTTTTCAAGAAAAGTTTCAAATTTTTTGATAGTCTTTGTTCTTTATGTTTCTAATCTTTGGAAACATTTTGTAAAGTTTTCCAAAATATATTAAAGGAATTTTGATTGACTTATGTTACAGGTATATAATCATTTGGAGGGGAATATTTGTTTTTATAGAATCGCAATTTTTTTTTCTTGTCCTTTTACTGAAATCTCACCTTGTGTTCTAAGGCATTTTCCCATGCTTATGTTTGTCAGTCCTGTCGTACTTGCTTGGGTCACACCTTGGTCTAGGAGAGCAGTCTTGTCCCACACTGTGTGTACTGGCAACAGGTGCCTAGAAAAGACCTGAAATGTCTTCCACATTGAGATGTGCATTAGGTGGAAAACAAAACCAAAACAAAATTCCAAGTTTCATCTCCCCACAAAACAAGCAAACGGGAATTTTGAAGATACAGTATATACAAAAAGAATGAAAAGAATTCTTAGTAGTTTTAAAATGGTAATTAAATATTAAAGATTATTGGAATTGCTGGATTAAATAAAATATTTTTGATTTATGTTTTTTCAATGTGGCAGCTAGACTTTTTAAGAATTACCTGTGTGGTTCAGATTACATTTATGTTAGAAAAATGCTGTACTCGAGAGTTTTGAGGCAGGACATGGCTTGTTTTTATAAATACAGTTTTGAACTTGAAATATACCTACTTTAGTCCACAAAAACTATTGATTGCTCTATGTCTTTGGCATTCTGCATTTCACTGAACATACAGGATTTAGTTTTTATAAATTTTTATTTTGGTGCTTTCTGTTTTCTAGTTGGATTGATGCATTATTTGCAAAAAGTTATTTTTATCTCTTCCTTGTTAGTAATTATGCTTTAAAATATGATTTTTACAATGCTGAGTAACATTTCTAGGATACCACTGTAAAAGCAAAATAGCATTTTTTTCTTTTCCTTTTCTATTTCAGTGCTAGGAATTGAACTCAGGGCACTGGACTTGCCAGGCAGGTGCTGCACCGCTGAGGTACACTTTTTTTTCTTGACTGATGTAATCATGTTTCTAGTGTTTTATCTTCATGTGTGGTTTTCACTGGCTGTTGGTTTCAGATGAACACTCTTTGTTATGTAGATAGAATATCGATCTATGCCTGAATTAAGAATTTCTATTAACCTAATGTTAATGAACTTATACTAACTGCTCCTTTAGGGTTGGGGATATAAGCTTAGTGGTACAATGATCTGCCTGGCAAATGCAAGTTCTGGAGTCTGATTCCAGTAGGCCACCCACCATACTCCTTTAACATATACTGTATTGATTTTAATTATTTTCTATTTTTATATAACAATGTGATTAGAGTCATATTTTCTATGTTGAACCATGCTTCTATTTCTGGAATAAATCTTGCCTGAATTTTATATACAAGGTGTGATAAATATCAATAGATATTTAAGTAAATCAAATGTATTACAGGAAAAACATATTGCCATGAATCCCGCTCAAATGTTCCCTCCCACTTCAGACACACTTAGCCACTTTCTGAAGCAGGACTGAAAGTCCTTTTTTGTGAGCTTCTTTTTGTGGTTGCCTTGATGTTCTGAATTGATTCAAAATACTTGGGCCCTTTCTGTCAAATACAAAGATTATGGCATGTTAGCCACTTTATTCATCAGATTTGGCACTGTGGGACTTCTGACTCCTCCTCAAAGTCAGAATGGCCATAAAAGGTAAGTGTTTGGAGTTGATCAGGACGTCAGGGCAGCCATAACAGGACAACTAAAGACACTCAGGAAAGAGGATTCCAGCACTACTTCAGAAAGTGGTAAGAGTGATGGACTAAGTATTTTTGAAGCAAAAAGGAGTATTTTGGGGATTCTTCATGACAATGTGTCTTTTATTTTAATACAGGTTTTAAAAACTTTAAACATTCACTGTATTTGTCAATCACACCTTGCTGGAGACCACTATGAAGCAGATCTGAGTAGCATTTAAAATTAACTAGCTGACTTTCTATGTGTATCTGTGAGTCTGTCCTAGGCCTCGGCCCCTTGTCTGGTGATGGAAACTGATTCATAGTAAGTGAACCTCTATGAATCACTGGTCCTGGCTGAGGCCTGTAGTGGCCTGTGAGGCCAGAAATACCTCAAAGGGCAAGATAAGGCCTCAGCTGAGGGCACCTGGCTCCAACCCCAATTAAGTAGATAAAGACTGCAGCTGCAGGCATCTCATTCTGGCTATCTCACTCTCACCGTAAGTGTCATCATGGAGATAAGACAGTTCTAAACTGGCATAATTTACTATTTGGAGAAGTCTTTGAAGTGACTTCCAAAGTCCTGCTCAGTTCCATGTTTTCTTCAGTATCCCCCTCTTTGTTTGGAGATGGAATTAATATAGACAGCTTAGAGAAGCTCTTTGTCTTAGTCCTCACAGTCTCGAGCTCAGCTAAAGGGTTTTGATCCTCCTGGAGCCCTAGAATCATACCAATTGTCTCATTTATTTAAGCCTTCACTGTACACTCATTTGGGAGATTGTGGTTCCAGGTCAGAATGCAGTAACACCTCACATGAGGTTAATTGTACACTTCTTTCTAGATGGCTTTTATCAATTAAGAAAGTTTCCTTCCATTACCAGTTTTCTTACCATGGTAAGATTTTCTTTTTTCTATTTTTTTAAAAATTATTTTGAAGGTAGTAAAATACAACAGAACAGGACAGAACCAAAAGCCAATTGAGACAGTGTAGTGAAATTGGTACAGAACTTCACAGCAGGTTACCGGGATAACAGCAATAGGTATCACAGGATATCTCATTATCATCACAATAGTTGTTCTTTCAATCACGTATAGCAAAATAAAATGAAGTACAGAACATTATAGAACTTATCAAAATAGAATATTGAATAGAACAGTATCATTAATCAGAATAAAGCAAAATAGTAGTAAAAATACTTGCCTTCAAAAAAAATGGTAGAAGGAAATCCCCCTTATTTGTTATATTGCATATGGTCAAGCTCCCAAGAGATGCTCAGATCTCTG